AGGAAGAAATAGAAAAGATCTGATGCTTATTACAGAAGAGATAATGCTCTGGGAAATCCCCATGGTCCAGAAAATATATAGCTGTCTACTTGGCAGAATCCATACTCTCACATGAGGACATTCAGGATACTTCCATGGAATCACTCGCTAGTGTCTAAAACCCTGAAAGGGTTGGGCCCTTGGCCTCATTTTCAAGTCCAGCAGAACATCCATGGAACCGGACTTCCTTGCTCAGGATTTTCCCATCATAGCAATGCTCAGTGGTGCATTCTTCACTCTTATCTTCACTGATGATCAAAGCTACTTTCTGAAATTCCCTCCTTCCCAGTTGGCTCGGTTCACGTTCTCCGGGTGTGAATGTCTTCTCAGAAGAGGATCCTCTGTCCATGGTAATGGGACTCAAAGCAGGAAGCCAACATTTTTTTTTTCCTGTTAAACAAAAATTAGTTTTATCAAATATGAAATCCCCAAGATTTTCTTTGTTTTAAATTGAGTGTTTGCTTTCCATTTTTCCATAGTCATTGCAACCTTGCCAATAACTGTATCACTTAAGCTTTCTTTTTTCATAATTGCAAAGAGTCTAAATTATGACATATAGTATTTGTGATAAATACATCAAGTAGACAAAATTTCAAGTAAAATAAGCTGTGTCCATGTCTATTGGACCAAACAGGTCTCAATATTGAGATTTTACTTCTATAAATTGCATAAATACATTGTACATTCTTAAATAATGAATGCTTACAATACTAATTTGTAAGCCTTTCCCATAAACCCCTTACACAGGAATGTGAATGGATCAGTACTTCTGTTACAGATTGCAACGCTCCCAATTTTCTTTTTGTGGCTATTGTTTTGTTGTCCTGGTTTCCACAGATTACTACATCAGTCCTTATGCTTTGGCCATGAAATCTGTTCGAGCTGAATGAGGCAACACTGGTTACTAAGGTTTATTTCTGTGATGGAGTATTATCCTTAGATCTGATGCCATTTCCAGAGAACAGAGAGAGAGTCACAGCTACCTTGAATCTTCAGATTCTGGTTTTTTTAAATTTTATTTTATTTTATTATTTTTTTTATTTCGGCATATTATGGGGGTACAGATTTTAAGGTTTGAAAAAATGCCCATTTCCCCCTCCTTCCCCAAAAGGTTGGAGTTCTCCATCATGACCATCCCCAGATGGTGCACATTCTCAACTCATATATGTATGTTATACCGCCTTCCCCTCCCACCTCCCCAATACCCCTATTACTGTAGTACCTATTGGTCCACTTAGGTGCTACTCAGTTAATACCAGTTTTCTGGAGAATATATCTAGTGCTTGTTTTTCCATTCTGGGGATACTTCACTTAGTAGTATGGGTTCCAGCTCTAACCAGGAAAATATAAGATGTGCTATATCGCCATTGTTTCTTAGAGCTGAATAGTATCTCCATGGTATACATATACACATTTTTTAATCCATTCTGGATGGATGGGCACTTGGGCTGTTTCCACAGCCTCGCGATTATGAATTGCGCTGCTATAAACATTCAAGTGCAGGTGTCTTTTTTGTAGAGTGTCATTGGATCATTTGGGTAGATGCCCAGCAATGGGATTGCTGGATCAAATGGTAGATTCACGTGTATCGCTTTAAGGTATCTCCATATTGCTTTCCACAGAGGTTGAACGAGTTTGGCAGTCCCACAGCAGTGTAGGAGTGTTCCTCTCTCTCCACACCATGCCAGCTTTATTGTTTGGAGATTTTTTGATAAGGCCATTCTCACTGGGGTTAAGTGATATCTCATTGTGGTTTTGATTAGCATTTCCCTGATGATTAGAGATGTTGACCATTTTTTCATATGTTTGTTGGCCATTCTTCTGTCTTCTTTAGAAAAATTTCTGTTCAAGTCCTTTGCCCACTTTTTAATGGGGGTTATTGATTTTTTCTCCTAATTTTCGTGAGTTCTAAGTATATACTAGTTATCAGTCCCTTATCGGATGCATAAGGTGCAAAAATTTGCTCCCATTCTGTAGGTTGTCTGTTTACTTCATGACTATTTCTTTGGCTGTGCAGAAGCCTTTGTAGTTTGATCATGTCCCATTTTTATTTTGTTGCTGCTGTGATGCCTTTGGGGACTTCTTCATAAACTCTTTGCCCAGCGGCCGTGTCTAGGAGAGTGTTTCCAACTTTTTCCTCTAGAGTTTTAATAGTTTCATACCTTAGGTTTAAGTCTGTTATCCAGCGTGAGTTGGTTTTTGTGAGAGGTGAAAGGTGTGGGTCCTGTTTGTACCTTCTACAGGTGGCCTATCCAGTTTTCCCAGCCATTTATTGAAAAGGGATTCTTTTCCCCAGCGTATGTTTTTGTCTGCTTTGCAAAGATTAGAGATGGCTATATGAGGATGGTTTTATATCAGGATTCTCACATCTGTTCCACTGGTCAATATTCCTATTTTTGTGCCAATACCATATTATTTTAATTACTACCGCTTTGTAGTATAGTTTGATATCTGGCATATTAATGTCTCCCATTTTGTTTTTGTTGCCTAGAATTGCTCTTGATATTCGGGGTCTTCTTTGGTTCCATACGAAGCATAAAATTATTTTTTCTATATCTGTGAAGAATGCTGATGGGATTTTAATAGGTATTGCATTGAATCTGTAGATCAGTTTGGGTAGTATAGACATTTTGACGATATTGAGTCTGCCGATCCACGAGCATGGTATGGATTTCCATCTGTTTACCATCCTCTGCTATTTCCTTCTCCAGTGTTTCATAGTTCTCCCTGTAGAGGCTTTTACGTCCTTGGTATAGTATATTCCTACGTACTTTAATTTCTTTGTTGGCTATTGTGAAGGAATTGAGTCTTTGATTTGGTTCTCAATTAGTTGTTTTGGCGTATATGAATGCCTCTGATTTCTGTGTATTGATTTTGTATCCTGAGACTTTACTAAATTCATTGATCAGTTCCAGGAGTTTCTTGGTTGAATCCTTGGGGTTTCTTAGATACAATATCAATATCATCAGCAAACAGTGAAAGTTTGATCTCTTCTGCCCCCTATTTGGATACCTTTGATTCCATTTCCTGTCTGATTGCTGTAGCCAGACTTCAGTACTATGTTGAACAGAAGTGGAGATAGTGGGCAGCCTTGTCTGGTTCCAGTTCTAAGTGGGAGTGATTTCAATTTTTCCCCATTCAGTATGATGTTGGCTATGGGTCTGTCATATATGGCTTGTATCATTTTTTAGGTATGTCCCTTCTATGCCTATTTTCTTCAGTGTTCGTATCATGAAAGGGTGTTGAATTTTGTCAAAAGCTTTTTCTGCATCTATTGAAAGAATCATGTGGTCTTTGTTTTTGCTTCTGTTGATGTGGTGAATTGCATTTATAGATTTACGTATGTTGAACCATCCCCTGGCATCCCCTGGGATGTAAGCGCCACTTGGTCGTGGTGGATTATTTTTTTGATAAGTGTCTGGATTCGGTTAGCTAAGATTTTGTTGAAAATTTTTGCATCTATATTCATTAGGGATATTGGTCTTGTTTATCTTTTTAAAGAACCAAATTTTCGTTTCATTGATCCTTTGTATATTTATCTCTCTTTGATTTAGTTCTGCTCTGCTTTATGTTATTTCTTTTCTTCTGCTAACTTTGGGTTTGGTTTGATTTGGTTTTTCTAGTTACCTCAGGTGTGGCATTGGGTTGTTAAATTTTACCGTTTCTTTTTTTGATGTAGGCACTAATGTTATAAACTTCCCTCTTAGCATGCTTATCTGTATATCACAGGTTTTGGTTTGTGGGTTTCTATTTTTAATTGTTTCAAAAAAATTTAAATTTCCATCTTATTCTCTTTGTTGACCCGGTGATCGTCAGCTTGAACTGAGCCTGGGGGCCAGACACAGCACAGTGTTCACTTCACAAGATGGTGCCTTGTACCCACAGCCAGAGAGGGTTGGCTCTGTTCCAGGCAAGATGTGTGGGCAACAAGCTGTAGGGAGTGTGATCCGTGTGCATCTGGGTCTCACAGCAGCCAGTTGCAGGGTGGTGGGTATCGTCCTAGGTATGCTTAGAAGAGCCTGGTTTCCTCTCTCTCCTTAGCTGGATCATCTGCCGCTGAAACTCAGTGCAAGGGCAGGGCCCAGTGCAGCATCAAACTCTCAAAATGGCACCTGGGTCTCAGGAACAGAGAGAGTGGGCCCTTTCCAGGCAAGCAGTGTGGGCAAGAAGCTATGGGGAGTGTGATCTGCTCACAGCTTAGTCTCAATAGCAGCCTGCAGCAGGGTAGTGGGGACCTTCCCAGAGTTGCCTGAGAGCCCTCAGTCTCCCTCTCCCTCCCGAGAGCAGCACAGCAGCAGCAGCAGCTGTGTTTTTAGAGCCCCAACATCTAGACTCTCAGAACCGCACCCGGCTGCAGGTGCTCTAGGCTCAGCTGCCTGTGGGATTCCACGTGGGTTTCCTTTTTGGAGCAGTGCCTCTGTGCAATCTCTAGGCAGTTCCTACGTCAGGCCCGGAGGCTCATATGAGTCAAGGAATTCTCCCACAGCCAAGATTGTGCAAGCCCATTTCAGAGTGTGGAGACCTGGTGATGTCTCTCTTACTGTTTCCCCACATCCAGGACCTTCTCCCAGCTCTCAGCCAGTCCCTGGCTGGGCAAGCAGCCTTGAACCCTCTCCTCACTTACTTTTAGTGCTTCCTGTCATGTCTTGGTGAATTCTAGCATGCCTTTCTAGACAATCTGTTTACTTTCATTTTTTATTATTATTTTTTGAGACAGAATCTCAATCCATTGCCCAGGCTAGAGTGCCGTGGCGTCAGCCTAGCTCACAGCAACCTCAAACTCCTGGGCTCAAGCAATCCTCTTGCCTCAGCCTCCCAGGTAGCTGAGACTACAGGCATGCACCACCATGCCCGGCTAATTTTTTATATATTTTTTTTTAGTTGGCCAGCTAATGTCCAGCTAATTTTTTCTATTTTTTTAGTAGAGACGGGGTCTCACTCTTGCTCAGGCTGGTCTTGAACTCCTGAGTTCAAACAATCCACCTACCTGAGCCTCCCAGAGTGCTACGATTACAGGTGTGAGCCATTAAGCCTGGCCCAGATGATCTGTTTAAATGTGAGTACCTACTTACTATTCTGGTTCCTCTTCCTGGCAAGGGACATGCTACCTGCGTTCAGTCAGCCATCTTGATCCTACCCTGCCTGTTGATTATTTATGTTATAATTGGTAAGCTGAATCCAACTTATAGTATTTATTGAAATTGATTTTATATCAGTACTTCTTTCTGTCACCTTATTCCCTACTCTCTACTTATTGTGCTTACTTTATTACCTCTTTCTGTGCTCTCTTTCCATTCTATAGTTGCAGATTGAAGGTCTTCTAAGTTTTGTATGTTATGTCTCTAAATTAATGAGAACACCTCATAGACAAAATATTCTGACTAGTGGAAACTCCTGAACACTAATTTTCAACTCATTTGGCTATAATCTGTTTCTGCACATCATTGGGCTTCAGGGTCAAAATCATTTTTTCCTCCCCAAAATCATGATTCCAGCTATTTTTATGAGAGTATATTAAAGACAATTCAATCAGATAAAAATTGCTAACTTGTGACTGGTCTTGGATTTGCTGTAGAGTAATTCAGCGTTCTTAGATGAAATTGGATGGGCCATGTTTGATAGTTGTTGTAGCTGACTAATGGTTTTATGACATTATTTATTTTTATTTGGGTTTATTTTATTTATTTATTTGTTTATTTATTTATTTATTTGGGTTAATTTAATGGGTTTATTACATTATTCTCCCTAGCTTTGTTTAAGTTTTAAAATCTCCATAATCAGAAGTTTAAATAAGAGAAGGTAGAATGACATGAACACTAATCTGTGTCAGACATAACTGAGGGTAGCTGCAGTACTTCTGCTAAAAGTCAAGAACAAAGATGTTCTTCTGGCATCGTAATCTATTTCAAAACAACTCTTCTTTCTTTTAGATCCTTTATCTGCTCACAGTCATTGGTCAATTTTCCTCTGTTACGTCTCATGATGTACAATACCAGGATTTGGCATCCAGCTTTAGTGCATATTTTAGCAACTTTAGCGTGGGACGCAACATCATCTCTCAGGCAATCAGTGCATTGATCGAGTCACACTTGAGAAATGGAAACATTCAGGCGGCAAACTCTGTAATCAGTGATGCGTTAAAAGAAATTGATAATGCTACACTGAACATCGCTGTGACAGGGGAGTCTGGAGCGGGAAAGTCCAGTTTCATCAATGCCCTGAGAGAGCTTGGACCTGAAGACGAAGGTGCGGCTCCCACTGGGGTGGTGGAGACCACCATGGAGAGGATTCCATACAAACACCCGAAGTTTCCCCGTGTGACACTATGGGACCTGCCTGGCATTGGAAGCACCAATTTCCCGCCAAAAGATTATCTACAGAAAGTAAAATTTGTTGAATATGACTTCTTTATTATTGTCTCTGCTACACGCTTCAAGAACAATGATATAGAACTGGCCAAAATGATCAAATCTATGAAGAAGAATTTTTACTTTGTGAGATCTAAGGTGGATTTTGATTTAAGAAATGAACAGGAGAGTAAACCTAAATCCTTTGACAGAGCAAAAGTCCTGCAGCAGATCCGAAACAACTGTCTTCGTATTTTCAATGAGAATAATATTGATGAAGCACCAGTCTTCTTAATCTCCAACAGAGATTTATCAGAGTATGATTTCCCAATCCTGATCGACACCCTATTAAGGGATCTTCCTACTCCGAAGCACCACATTTTTATGCTTTTCAAGCCCGATATTAACGAGGCAGCCATTGAAAGTAAGAGGGATTCTTTGAAGCAGCGTATTTGGCTAGAAGCCTTCAAGGCTGGCTTAAAGGCTGGCTTAAAGGCTGGCTTAAAGGCTGGCTTAGAGGCTGGCTTAGAGGCTGGCTTAGAGGCTGTCTTAGAGGCTGGCTTAAAGGCTACAGTAAAGGCTGTAGTAAAGGCTGCAGTAAATGCTGCAGTGCCCATATTGGACATCTTCTGTGACGGAGAAGTGGAGAAGCTCAAGGAGATCTTAAGCAACTATCGAGTCCTCTTTGGAGTGGACGATGAATCCCTGCAACGTTTGGCTAAGGACTTGCAAGTACCAGTGGAACAACTTAAGGCAGGCCTTATATCTCCAGGCTTATTGGAAAAAAAGGCTAAATCAATAGAGTACATACTTTTGACAAATTTGGAGAACTTCATTCCATCTAATATATTTCTCTTAAGAGGAGCATTTACGTTTAGCAAAATCTACTACTTGCAACTTCAATTCCTTGACACAGTGGCCGATGATGCCAAAGTTCTCCTTAAAGAGACATACTCAACAAAAAAAAAGTTAGATTTCCCAATAAACTAAAATCCTCTGGATGTTGAAATCCAAATTCATGATGGAAAAATATCACAGCGGATGGCCATAAACAATATAATCGGTTTATTGAGGTTGTCTAGCCTTCAAGGCATACCTATGGATTGCATGTCCCTGGCAGCCTGAGACCACAGGTGTGGATCATCTTTGTGTACGTCCTCAGAGGCAAAGAGCTAAATACCCCTCGCTCACTCCCAGTAAATGACCACATCAGATGATTTTCCTTTTGTCATAAAACTGTTTCATATAGCTGCCAGCCTGGCATCCATTTTTAGGCCTGACATAAGTTGTTTAAGACCCAGTTCTACCCTGTTACCTGCACCCTAGTTAAAATTCCCATACAGAAACCACCTCTGATTACATAACTTGCTTTTCCCTCATCTCACTGACTCAAGCTCAATACACCGCACAGCTGTTGTCCACAGTAAAACCTAATGGTCAACGCTAGAGTCATGTAAATATGTCCCACACCCACCTTCTCACATCTTCTCTTTAAAGTAGTAGATCCACAAACCCCATGGAAAACCCTAAAAGCTATAATGCCCATCGTCCGTAATAAATGCAGAGGCCGCAGGGTCTTTCCCTCTCTTGCTCTCCACCCATCGGGTGAGCCCCCCGCCACCTCTGTACTTCCTATCGTCCTCCTGTCTGCACCCCTAACCTCTCTGGGAACCTGTGAGTAATCAATTTCTGCTGTTTCATGCATCTTGGATTTGCCTCCTCATTGTGTCTTGCCTGAAACACACTCCTAAACCTAACTTTCCCCTCATCAGGGCTGTCCTGGAGAGCACTTATCTTGCCTTATGGCCACTCTCAACACAGGGACCTCAAGACCAAAGTAGAAAGAATCCATAACAATTGAAATCAAAACAACTCTGATCAATGATTAACCAATTCCTAAGAATCCTATTTAGTCAGAATCCTTCTTGAGAAAATAACTAAAGAAAATCTATAATTCCATGTGGAAACACTGGGGAACCCCATGAGATTTCTTTGATTGATGACCATCACTGATTGCCATGATGGCGAGGAATTGCTTTAACCTGTATCAGATACCAATAGGTACTTAACAAACGCTTGGTGAAAAAAGGTACATGATGTTAGTGTTGGACATTCTCAATATACCCATGATAGCTCCATATTGATTATTGTGAATGTTATTTTTAGTCACTGATAATTTCCTTGTTCATTCCTTGGCCTATCACTTATTTTCCTCAAAATGAAATACAAGAAATGGTACCTGGGTTAGATAGACTGAAAGAGACACAGAGAGGACAAAGGGGAAACGATTCATTGGTGAGTGGTAGTATCTCAGTCAGTTCAGGCTGCTATAACAGAATACCATAAATTGGGTGGACTGAAAAACAGAAGTTTATTTCTCACACTTCTGGATTCTGGAAGTCTGAGATATGAGTGCCAGCGTGGTCAGGAACTTGGGAAGGACACTCTTTCTAGTTGTGTTCTCACATGGCCTTCCTTGCTACATGCACACGCAGAGATTCCCTTGTCTCCTTACCCTCCGAAAGCCCCACCTCCTAATATTATCCCCATCTAATAGGATCCCATTGGGGCTTAGGGTATTAACATATGAATTTTGGGGAAACAAACAAACATGCAGATAGGTTACACAAGTTATGCATTAAGTACAGTTGCTTTCTTAGTAGAACCTATGATTACTCCCTGTCTACCACGCACATTATGAAGTCCTGTGATGTGCAAGGTCTCAGCACAAGGAATTGGAAACTGACTTGTATGACTTGTACAGTCTTCAGGTCATTCCTTGGTTTACTTAGATGTATCCCATGGTTAGGTAATCTTACCATCCACTACTTTAGACGAAAGAAACAAAGGTGTTTACTTGAGATAGTTGCCGAGGACACCAAGGTGATCCTAAGAAAAGTCCTGGAAGACTCCATCATCCCACAGTGAAAGCCAACTTGGGAAAAGCCCAGCAGGCTCTTCTGTCAGGTGGCACGAAGGACCTCTGGGAGTTCTCTTCTCAATAGGATACCCCTTTCTCCACTCCCAGTCAGAGATTTCAGTTAATATTTTCCTCTATTTCTTAGTGTTATAAATTCCTTGAAATGAATTACGAAAATCGCTTATCTGAGTAGCACAAATTAATGTACTATTCATCTGGACATGCATGCCACTTTGCAACTGAAAGCACTATTTCCAGATGGCAGTTCTGGGAAACTGATTAAATGACTTCAACAGCAACAACACGACTGTTGCTCAGATGAATGGTACATTGATTTGTGCTACTAAGATAAGCGATTTTCATAATTGATTTCAAAAGAGCCTGCTGGACTTTTCCCAAGTTGGCTTTCACTGTGGGATGATGGAGTCTTCCAGGACTTTTCTTAGGATCGCCTTGGTGTCCTCGGCAACTATCTCAAGTAAACACCTTTGTTTCTTTTGTCTAAAGTAGCGGATGATGAGATTACCTAACCATGGGATACATCTAAGTAAACCAAGGAATGACCTGAAGACTGTACAAGTCATACAAGTCAGTTTCCAATTCCTTGTGCTGAGACCTTGCACATCACAGGACTTCATGATGCTCATGTAGTCTGCGAATGTCCTCCCCACTCTCTGTGCCACCTGCCAGAGAGATTCATCATCCACACCAAACAGCAACTGGTAGGCTTTCAGGCATACAGCCAAGTCATCTGCATCCGAGATGCCACAGGCATCCTGGAGAGACTCTGTGGCTATTTTCTTCTGCAGGAAGGACACTTTGTCATTAACGGCCCTCTCACACATATGGGACAGGTTTTGAAGGAGCTCATGGTATCTATTTTTCATGAGATCCATTTGCAATGAGTCTCTCAGCTTTGGGAAGTCATACGATAAAGGATCAAAGCTGGAGACGAGGAATATAGGGGGTCCACACACCCGCTGCTTCTGGAGATTTTCCAGAATATTTTCCCTGATAATCTGCAGCAGCTGCCCTTCAGGGAGGGCACTTGTGTTGAGATCCATGTCCAGCTTGGTCCAGACAACGTAGAACTGTTTTCTCATGTCCTACATGGTTTTTGCAAGTATCACGTGATTCATGCTGAACTGTTCAGACACGATGATGATGAAGAAGTCATATCGGCTGAACTGCATTTCCATAGAATAGTTCTCCAGGCTTTGGGCGGCACACTCTGTGCCAGGCAGGTCCCACAGAACCACGTTGGGCGTATGGTCAACAGAAGAGAGATCCGTTCCCCAACTAGACCAATGTCTGAAAGGGTATTTCCCAACATCTTTTCTTGGCATTCTAAGACTGGTTTCATGACTTTTAGGTTTAAGTCTACTTATTCACCTTGAGTGGATTGTTTTGTGAGAGCAGCTGCTATACTTAAACAAAAACACTTTCCACAAATCAATGATATGCCCTAATCCAAAATGTTGGTTTAAAATGTCATTAAAAGTTTGATTTAGCCAAAATAGTATAATCTTGATCATTGAAATAATACCAAAACTCAGCCTCCAAAGCATCCAAAAGTACCTATCTCTCTCTTTTCCTTTTTTTCCCTTTGTTTTTTTTTTTTCCGTCCCCGTTTTTTTTGTTTTGTTTGAAAGACGGAG